GCCCCCGCCGGCTCCCAGCCTGGCAAAGCCCTGGCCCTGCTCCTGGGCTCCTCGCTGGTGCCGGGCAGAGCGGGGAGGATGCACCGTCCATCTCGTCCCCTCAGAGGGGCGTCTCAGTGCCCCTCGGATTTCCGAGGGTTCCGGAGGTTATTTCGGGTTGATCCCTGCCATGCCACCCGGGGCAGTCCCACTCCCCGGGGTGCCTGGGCTGGCGTGTGGAGAGCCGCAGGGGATGGGAGGCGTAAAGGGAACAGGGGGCTGCTCCCATCTGCTTTTATTGTCTGTGATCTTTCAGTGCAACCTGAAAGCTGCGTGTCCACAGGGTGAAGTGGTCTCAGGTCCTGCTGGCTTTGTGCCACATCTGAGGAGCTGGCCTGCTGCAGGCAGAGCTGCCTGCTCTTGCCTGTACCCCTGCCCTGGCACATACTGGTCTACTGAAACGAGTGGGTCCTGCTAGGGAGGGGCAGGGCTGTCCCAGGCTGTGTACAGGGCCGCCCCCCTCCTGGGGTTTTTGCATGTGTGGTTGGGAAGGAGCGGGGAGAGGCTTAGCAGGGTGTCACGGGTCCAAGGGTTGTGTGAGGCAGGAGCACAGTGGCCACCAGGGCTCCCTTGGCAAGATTGCTTTGCCACCGTGGTTTTGGCTGCAAAAGGGAACACTGGGTGCCAGTGCCAGGCACAGGTGGACCTCAGAGGAGGTCAGTGGAGGGGGGACACCACCTGTGTGCATTTCATCCCCTCTGCCTCAGTGCTTGGGGAAGCGTGGTGGCAGCATCCATGCACGTCCCACCACCCGCCCACCTCCACGGCTCAGCTCCCCGCAGCCCTGCAGTGGGTTTCAGTGCTCAGGAGCACCCATGACACGGCCCAGCAGGAAGTCCTGTGTTTCCCACCCACAGCCCTGCTGGGGTTAGGAGGCAGCTCGGCCACTACTCGCGCCATTGCTGGAGAGAAGCAAAAAGTTTCTCCATGGGGATGGGAACAAGTCAGGCACTGCTGGGAGCACCTAGCATGCCCCCTGTCTGGTCTGCTGCTGGCCTCCAGCCCTGCTCCACGCTGTGTCTGCCCAGGTCCCCGGCACGAGGCAGTGCAGAGAAAGCAGGTCGTGGGCACACCCTGCACTCCTCAGGCTTGCTGCCTGGCCAGGTGGGCGTGTGGCTCCAAAGGAGGGAGACACACACGTGCTAATAATGTCGATACCTTCAGTGCCTGGTGTCTGTAGATCATGGATCATGATGCTTTCCCTGTTGCTGTGGTCTTGCCTGGGTTTTATTCAGGTTTTCACAGGTCCATGGCAGTTTCTCCCAGCATATTTTGTGAGCTCCCAAGAGCAACCAGGCTGAGCACCTTTATCCCTGGACATTCATTTGCTGAACTCAGCCAAAACTGCTCGTAGCTTTTCTTTAGCAAATTTTCTGCATCAAAGGAAATAAAAGAGCAAGTCAAGCCACATAAATAAGAATTGAGTCATTTCTAGACCAGAGGTTTCACTCCAGGCTATTGGCTACTCCATGTTTTTCTGCAGGATATTGTTGGACAAAAAACCATCTGTCTGGGTGCAGAAGTCTTTGGTTGACTGTCCTGTGCTAGGTCTGTCCTTCTTGCAGGAACTTTTTCCAGGGCCAGTGAATATCCACAGTCTGATAGCTCTTTGAGGAGTCTTTCTGGGAGTCTTATATATGTTTGTGTGTATGTTGATCCTTTAGCCTTGGTTACTGATAGAATATTGCATCCTTGGTCATCAGTACCTAAGACTTCATTGCTGGCAAAACAAAAGTGTTAAGTTATCACTGAATTATTCTTATTTAACTATTATTCATTCCACACTCGTATCCCCAGACTCCAGTTACGGGTGCTATCAAACAGGCAGACACCGTCCATTTCCCAACAGGCGTGCAGTCCGAGATGACCAGTGTTATGTAAAGGGTGAGAAGGAAGACACAGCCAAATAAGCATGGATGGAGACCCAGATCCTGGTAAATTCTCATGACCATTTCATGTTCCATAGCCCAAATGGTGGTTTGCTCACCAGTTTCTGGTAGAGGTAGGTCATAAAGAGGTGCTCAAGAGGGGGTGGCAGTGATCTGGTGCCTTGGTTCTGGCAGCCTGGGATGTGTGTGGGGAGGCTCAGCAACAGACACGGAGGCGTTTGTACCGGAAGCAGACAAATTGAGCAGCCGAGGCCATGGAAGGATGAGCTTGTTACCTTCTGTCATTCGGCAGAGCGTCTTCGTATTTCCTCTCCCATATCATACGTCATTAACATCAGCAGACTCTCAGAGGAGCTTATTTACCATCAGGGCACAGACTTCTTTAAAGCAGCCTCCCATTAAATGTGCCTAGTGTCCAGTATTGGACCAACACGTGGAAGCAGGAGCTCTCCAAACAGCCTTTCTGGAAGGAGACTTTCAATAGCTCAGCCAGTTTGTTTGTCAGACTGGCTGCTCTCTGAAGAAGTGCTCTTATAATAAGGACTGCTACCCAGGATTTGCACCCTCTTCCTCTTTATGCTGAATATGTCAACCAGTCTAATCCCCAAAAATAAACTGTAATTTCTGTAATAAATTAAATTCCTGTCCAAGGGCAAGTAGAAAAATGTCTTGCGTTAAGCCCTCCTCTAAAGCCGGTTGAAAGCCGAGTGGCTGTTCTGCCTCGCTGCCTCTATAGGTTGGATGACAGAGGCATGAACTGGAGCATGAGAAACAAGAAGCAGTGTTGTTCCTCATACAAGCACCTTACACACCAGGAGGCTCTGTGCGGCACCAGGAGAAAAGTAGACATTAAGCAAGCATTTATTTTTGTATCCCAGCAAAGATTCTGTCCAGCCCACTGCTATTTAAGTGATGAATCTCTAAGCTTCCACTCCTTAAGTTTATTGTATTTTTTATATATAATATATACTAAATGTCTTTTATTCCTACAAAATTTCATAGAGAAGAATTCTTTATTCTGATGCTGCAATAAAGCACTTTATATATGTATGTGTTGCCAATGTCATTCAGTTGGGACTGAAGCATATGTTGCTGTTTGTTTAGATTGAGAGGGATGACGCTATGTTGGATGCTGCATATCTTGGGTCCCCAGCCCCAGCTGTACTGCAGAGACCCTTGTGGCTTTTCTTCCTTCCCTTAGCAGTTGCATTTGATGGTGTCTGGCTGGAAGAATCTCAGCTAACTGAGACTATCCAGAGGGCACCACCACAGCCGTGTTATATGTGAAGTTCTGCTCACACGGAAGGAAGCCTCCTATGAGAAGACCATCAGGGTCAGTGTTGAGAAGCAAATGCATTGCCTGTGCTTAAGCCCTGACCTGAAGTTTTATTCCATACTCAGCCTGGCCAGAGCTGGGTGCTGGCTGACCTTACACCAGCACACTGCTTTAAGCAGGTGTTGAGCATGAGAGGGTGAAAAAAAAAACCCAGCATCATCCCAGCTGGAAAACTGGTTTGGCAAACCACCACCAGAGCCAACAGCTTATGCTAGCAGGAGGATTTGCAAAGCTTTCCAGGGATCACAACTTTTTGTTGCCATTAATTTGCTGCATAAGTTGTGACCATTTCCAAGCTTTTACTATTTCCAGCTGTTTTCCCTCCTTCTCCCTTGCTCCTTTTGCTTCGTGCTGGCTGCACATCTGTCAAGGGTTATCTGCTGCTCCAGGACAGGGCTCTGCTCTGCAGCTGCCTGGCGCCATTGTAAAGGGCTCCGCTCAGCAAAGGATGCTCTGAGCTTCCCACTGGTCTACAGCATCAAAAACATGGTTCCATGGAGCCCAAGCCCAGGGGAAGCAGGCTGAGCTCTGCTCTGCAGGAAAAGCAGCCCAGAGAAAATCACTCTTTC